TCCCGGACCAATAATTTGATACAATTAATACATAAGATTCAATTTTGACAGATGAAGGATATAAAGGGTTTGACCTTGTTGAGATCATTAGTCAGTCAAATGACATTGTTATTAGCCAAGTCAATGGACCTCGTTCTGTTAACTTGCATTAATATACCATATCAAGTATAGACATCAATGTCAAGTACAGAAAAAATAAGACAGGAGAAATTAACAGAACGTCGGTAAACTACTCCTTTCAAGCGCAAGCATATCTGTATATTTAAACACATCTTTACTAGACTATTGAATATGTTGGGCACATTTACCGTAACACTTCTCAAACCATTGCTTTGCAACAACAGTGTCTTTTCTAACTAGAAAATAATGTTTTATCAAAAATGTAATTCACTATTTTCTTCTGTAAACAAAAATGCTACTTCTGGTGCATCAATTTGAGGACAGTATTATAATGATGGTTAGTACTATAAGGCAAGGATTACACTGGGCACTGTAGGCTCAAGAAACACCTGTCAAACATGGGCATGGCTTCTTGTGGCAACTGTCAATCTGCGACATGGGGCCGGAAACACCAGAACACCTGATTCTAGATTGCACCGCAATTTGTAGACGCAGGCTCAAGACCCTCGGTTCCATTTATGTGATCAGGGATCACATTGCCTCAATAGCACACAGCAAGTTGTTGGAGTCAGGGTGCTGGGACTTTGGGAATACATGTGATGGAGGAGAGGGCACAATAGACCCTAGGTCGCAGTGCAAACCTCATATTCATATTCTATTCTAAGGCAAGGATAGAACGTTTTGTTTGTGACGCGATCATTTTCATCCCATGTATAGTATATTGACATGTAGTATATTGACATGGATTAAAAAAAACTTGTGGCATTAGATTATAATCATTAGGTTGATAATGAATAATGAAAAAAGTGAGGAATTGTTTATAATAATTTTGTAAAGTTGCCTATAGGCCTATAGAACATCCTGTATCTAGAAAACCCGGACTCCAAGGACTTCAAAATGTGTATCAATTCATATTTGAAAATTAAATTCAAATAGTCAAAGGAAAACTAAAAATATTTAGGGCTTAAGAAAATCCATAACTTAGTTCTGTAGTTGACAAGAATCACGCAACAAAACATTTCCGAGCATTGACAAAACTTTAGCTGAAGAAGTAAGGAAGGGAAGGGTAAGTAAATTGACCAAACATTTTATACTCTCGAAATTTGCAAGGATCAAATTCGGAGAAATACTTTCAGGTGTTGAAAAAACTTTGTATTAAACATATTGGGAACGCCGAAGTTCAAGTGTAACCGAAAATTTTATACTGGCTCAATTTGTAAGAATCAAAGCCGGGGAAACACTTTCGGGTGTTGGCAAAGCTTCATACAGGGTGGCGCTCGCTGCTACAAAAACAAACCGTAATAACTTTTTTTTTTAGTCAATGCTTTACATTTATTTTTTTTTATTGTATAGTAATTTTTTTTTATTTTATATAAATAGTTAGGCGGACTGCAAAGCATGGTACCGCTACACTCAAACAAGGGGACTAAATTTAATACATTAGGTATATTAGACAAAAGACAACGGAATAATCGGAAGTCATTACATTCGGGGTATTTGGTTTAAAGAAACTTTATGCATATTCGTACACTTCTAGCTTCTTCATTCGACCAAAAACGCTTTCCACGAAGGAATTGGTTCAGTTTTCTGAAAAGGAAGTAGTCGCTGGGAGCCAAATCTGGTGAATACGGTGGATGCTCAAGCAATTCGTACTTTAGTTCGTTGAATTTTGTCATTGTTAAAACACCTTTGTGAACAGGTGTATTGTCTTGAAGAAGAAGAACATTTTTTGTGCTGCAAATGAGGTCTTTTCTTACAAATTTTTTCATCCAGCTGATCCAAAAGGCTGCAATTATATTTAGAGTTGATTGTTTTACCTTTCTGCAGATAATCAATCAACAAATTTATTTTTGCATCCCAAAAAACTGATGCCATAACCTTCTTTTCTGACCGTTGTGACTTCACCTGCTTTGGAGCTGAACAACCAGCTTCAGTCCACTGTAAATGTTCTTGTTTCAATTTAGGATCATGGTGGTAAATCTAAGTCTCATCCATAGTTATAACAAGACGCAAGAAATCGGTTTTCTTCTGCTGGGTTTCGATCCAGTTTTGGTTGAATTGTTAAAGTGTCCGGCATTAACCTGCCAAATAGCTATTTCATACGTAATTCTCCATGTAAAATATGAAGTTCGTCTGAGATGCCTATGGCATTAGCGATTTCATGCTTAGTCAAACTTGGGTCTTCACTAACAATATTATGAACTTGCTCAATGATTTCTAGTGTGGTCTTCAAGCCTATACTATTGTGACTGAGCTTTCTGCATATATTTCTTCACTCGTTATAATTTTGTGCAACTCCTCTTCATGCATTACACTTCAGCCTTAATTTTATACTGCTCTCCAGACTGTGAGATCATCTGTGCTGATGAGTCTCGTGCGCCACCAACTGTACGGACATACATGTCCAATAGTTTCAAACCGTGCTGACAACCGTGTTTCAAACTTTACTCCATTTGTTGCGAAACCACGTTGTTTTAGCGCCTTTTTAGATTATTTAACTTAGCCATTTTCGAATAAATTTCTCCTTGGGAATTTCTTTGACAATTCCACTTCTGACACCAATTGTAACGGAGTTCGCGATAAATCGTCTACTTTGAAACTTACACACAATATTATTATTCATGAAATTTGTTTGAAATTGGTTGAGTAATTGCTGAGATGCAGGAATGGACTTTAATGTGGGCGGTAGCACGTTCATTGTCGAATTTTTATACAGATTTATGTATTTCAAATCTTACTATCCTTTCAAGTAAGCACAAAGTTTGGTTATTTCGTAAGATATCATATCAGCTATGTATACACGCCCGAATTTCTGACAACAGCATCACGTTCTACTGTCACTTTTTGCAACACAGATGATACAAAATCGAATCGACGATACAATGCCAGAAGCAACTAGACAGAGAATTCGTAGTTGCCAGAAAGTTCTAGTGGCGAACTTTTGTTAAGGATCTACTATATAAGGGCTGCCGGGTTGTGCAGCAGATACAGTTCTAATTAGTGTTGCTGTATAAGGAGCAATTGAACTAAAAGCAATAAGTTGGAAACTCGAATAACGAGTAATAAGTGTTAAGTTGTTCGAATTAAAAATAAAGATATGTGTTTAGCCATTAAATTGGGACTTTTATTTACCAAACCAGTGATCGAACTGAATTGTGAGTTATAAGGTAGACGATTTATCGAGAAATATGTTACAATACGTTACAAATATATTTATTTTGTGTATTTGAGGTCAAGAATACGAAAACTGAAAACAAAACTTTTAATTGTTTTAATTTTAACCCAAACCCCATCTACACGAATCTAATTTTGGTTTGCATCTTGGTCTGTCAAAATAAAGATTGTCGGTATTGCAAAAACCTAACTATTGTGAACGAAAAATAATAATCAACTGGCAATGCCTCTAGTTCAACATACAAAAACGTTAAGATAACTTTTAATAAGCAAATCAATTATGTTGGTCTTTTTGTAAGTCTTCCATACAAAATAAGCTAATAGCTTAACGTGCTGGTAAAATAAAACACATCTAAGGATATAGTCTGGTAATACCATGTGAAGTTTAATTTTGGATAACATCCCAGCAATGCACGGTCACGGAAATTGAAGGAATTAACGCGAAAACTAACACATACACACCGTGGAAATCATAAGCCCAATGCGTAAGAAGGGGATGAACGAGCATATACCAAAGTTTGGGTTTGAATTGTCAATTGGGCCTTGAGAAACTCGCAGAAACTTTATCAGAAATCTCTGATAGCGCTGTTGGGTAATTAACCGGTGATTTAACCGAGAGGTATAGAAAGCTTTTAAGCCTTAAAATCACCAATTTATTCTGGCCGTGGTTGTGAGCATGTGGTTTAAAATTCGTAAGTACAGACAATTTTTAAAATAATATACAAATTATTAAACTCAACTATTTTTTACACTTTATTAGATGGAATGTTGCGGAAATATTTATAATTAGGTAAGAATTTCTAATGTTTTGAAATGCCGGCTGCACATAACCTACGTGCAGCAGCAATTTAGAATTTTAATAAGAATTAATAACCGTGGAAAAATAAAAATTGTAAAGAAACCTTCATTTTATATAGTACTCCTGATTTCGGAGAATACAATTATGAAATTGAAACATATTATGTTAACATTCTGTTGTGATCGAATTTCACAATATATACTGTAACATATTTCTAGACAAATTGTCTACCTGTAACTCACTCTTGAGTTCGATCACTGGATTGTTAAATTAAAGTCCCAATTTAATGGCTATACACTTATCTTTATTTCAACAACTTATTATTGCTCGATATTCAAGTTTACAACTTATTGCTTATAGCTTAATGCTTTTTACACGGCAACACTCTATTTAGAACTGTGTCTGCTGCACAATCCGGCAGCCCTTGTATAGTAAATTCTTAACAAAAATTCACTACTAGAACATTCTGGCAACTACGAATTCGCTGTCTAATTGCTTCTGTCTGTTTATCCATCGTAAAGGGGGAGTAGAAAAAGAATCAGCTGATCGATGTAAACAAAGCTACAGCTAAGAGGGGTCTATGAAGAAACGTCAAGTTCGCTTAGGGGTTGAGTTTCTATTGATAGCCAAGATGGCCGACTTTTAACCGGAAAATGGTTGCATATTGCTATTTTCTTTTAATTTATGAAAAAGTTTTCCAAATAATATTGGTTATATGTAAAACTTCAATATGTTTTCAAACTAAAATCTGTTTATTTTAATATATGTTCTTAAAGGAGCAGCTATTATTGGCAAATTCTAGAATAATTACGATATATTGTATATATTATATATGCCTTTTTTAACTGTGGTAAATAAATAAATATTCACCACAGAAAAATGTAAGGTGCAATTAAGCAACCATGTCAAATAACGGGATGCAGAAAATGCTTATTCAACGAAACTAAGAACAAGGTTTATAAATTTGCAAAAAAATCTTCAGAAAATAATGAATATTTAATAATGCTCCTAAAACTACTCACACAAGAATTTTTATCTTTAAGCAGGTGTGTATTAGTGCATATAAAGTAATAATAAATAATAACTTAAATTATTTTTTTCCAGAGGAAAGCTGTAGAAAATAATAAACCTATTTTAACTCGCCCATAATATGGATGATATTAGAAGGATTTTATAAAAAGTGTCCGTGTTTTTGGGATGAAAATTACATTACATACAATTTTATTAATAAACGCCTTGATGCTTTAGATTGCATACATAGTGATTTAAATTTGGAAACTGATTTATGTATGACAACGATTTGGAAAGTGAAATTGCAAAACATATGTTCCGATGAAAAGAAACAAAAATTACGTTGCAAATAATACAAAATTGCTTATATGTAAATCACCATACTCCTTTGTACAAATTGCTTCTATCAAACTAAATGTGGCGCCCAATGAGTGCACAATATGAGAAGAAATAATTTCCAGTTTTAGTGTGCATCTAATTGTTTCCAGAGCTAATATGTGGCCAGTATTATAGTGCTCACCATTAACGAAAGTTATAATCATGCGCAATTTCTCATTTGCAACACCTATATTTGCATTCATTGATACAATTAAAAAATCTAACCTGATAAAATAAAAACTTAGTGTAAATAAAAACATGATTTTTTCTGTGCCAAACAATATATGTTTTATATCGTCAGATTTTATTTATTATTTTTGTACATTTCCTTATATATATATTGCATTTTGCACATCACCATGAGGTATGCAATTAGGCGCGGTACCGATTTTTTTGGATGTTCGGTTCCCCTGGGCATTTCCCACACTCCAGGAAATTTGTAAAGGCGTAACGAGTCTTTGCAGCTTCGGATGCACTTGCGTGGCATATTCATTCTGTTAAAAAAGTTTCCATTAGTATTTTCTTTTAATTTAAATTATGAACAATAATACAAACCTGTTGATCATTTATAAATGGTTAAGGAATGTAAGAAGACTATATATTTAAAAACTAAACTTAGAACTATATAACAATATGGTAATTTATTTATGTAAAGAACATAAATAAAAGTTGTGATTAAATAAATGTATATTTAAATTAGAGAAAACATCAACTCAATAATAATTTCTTGATATATTTACATAGTTAGTAGACCTTCCTTCCTTCCTGATCGGTCTAAGTTCTCTCAGATCAGATGGCTATGAATTAAATCAGCTGCCTCAAGAGCTTGTAATCTGTGGCTGGAGCTTTCAATTATAAAATTAGACGAAAGATATTACACACCTGATGTCTTACATCCACTTTTTTAATTATTTGAATTAGTTAGCTCAGCTTGGAGATAGCGCTAGTAATCTTTTAGTGGTTTTAGCGTCGGAACGAGACAAAATACCGACAAGGTTGAAGTATTTTACTTCTGAGCCCAATCAATAGTCAACCGTGTTAAATTAAGTCCATATTTTGTGTTACTCGTATATTTTAACAAGAATAAAGTAAGATAAAACCAGATAGTGGTCCACTGCTGAATTGATGCGGCCGTCTAAGGCTACTACTACTAAAGATTGTATTACATGAAAACTTTGAATTTTTCCAAAATTCACAAATACAACTTAACAGCGACAAATGAACTCATTATACCCTGAACAGGGTATAAAAGTTTTCTACGAAGGTTGTAATACCCAGAAGGAAACGTCGGAGACCCTTTAAAATATACATTTATATATAAATGATCAGCGTGACGAGCTGAGTCGATTTAGCCATGCCCATCTGTCTGTCCGTACGTCCGCCTGTATAAACGCGACCAAGTTCCTCAGTTTTTGAGATATTGATCTAAAATTTTGCACACGTTTATTTCTCCCCAAGAAGCTGCTCATTTGTTGGAAGTGGTGATATCATACAAGCTACCATAGAAACAAACGACCAAACTCAAGTCACCGTATGGGAATGGGTTAATATCCATGGCAACGGCACAAAAGGCAAGAAAAAATGGTTCAGATCGGGCCATTATAGAAACTTAACGATTAACCTCAAGTCCCAGTATGGAAATTTTTTTTTACAAGATATCTTTACGAACTTTGACATGGATTATTGTCCAATGCAACGGTACAATATCCGAAAAAAATTTTCAGAATGGAGCACTGTAACGTTTATATAGCTGGCATACAAACTGAAAGATTAAACTCAAGTCTTCAATATAATTTTTATAAGAACATAATAAAAATTTTAAGTCAATTTACTTTTTGCTGGTTTAAATGAAGAGACCTTAGCTTTGTACACTTCATCTTTATTAATCTTTGGATATATTTATAAAACAAAACATGAACAATAACAAAAAACACAAAAAAAAATTAATAAAGTTACAAATAAAATGTTTCATGTTACTATATAAACTGCTCTGAGAGCTAACGAGTTATAAAAAGGTACATTTTTGATACATTTACTGATGTAATATGAGAACAAGAAATTTATAAAATACTTTTCGGTAAAGTACTTTATTCTTCAATGATCCATTTGTTTTTGTTTAAAATAAAATAATTTGTTGGCGTTTGTAGCTTTTAATGCTGTTTTCCTATCTGATATTAGCAATCTAGCCTATCTAAACATTCTCTTCGACTATGTATGTATATGTATTGTAGCGAACACGAATACCAGAACAAATCAGAATCGACGATAAGCCATGGTATAAGGGAGTAGCGAAAGTCCCATTCACAGTAGTTTCGCCACCTCAGAGGAGTACGTTCACAATGAAACTAACATGGTGGCCATGGTGAGTTAGGGTGGCGAGGTGTTAAAACGGGTTGAGCATAGCAGAAAACGCCTTAATAATTATTTATAAACATTTTAAATTTTGTTTATTTATTGATGATTAATGCTAACAATATATGATATTATACCATGTTGATATAGGTAAATATGCGGCATATTTTTAAGCCTTATAATTAACTTATTAATGGACAAATTGAAAATTCAATTTAACTATGAGTGGAAGGGACGAAATAACTATTGTAACAGAATTTGATATTATAAGTAATAATAATTTATATAATCAAAAAAGTAAAACTTATCATTGTCATACAAGTGATAATAATTCATTTTTTATTTATTTATTTATTATATATAATTTCGTTATTTAGTTGTAAGATATATGGGTGAAAATAGGCCTCCTGGGGAACCTAACACCCAAAAAAATCGCATAATTGAGCATGGTAATTTACATATAAGCAATTTTGTATCATTTACAACGTAATGTTTGTTCCTTTTCATCGGAACATATTTTTTGCAATTTCACTTTCCAAATCGTTGTCATACATAAATCAGTTTCCAAATTTAAATCACTATGTACGCAATCTAAAGCATCAGGGTGTCTATTAATAAATTTGTATGTAATGTAAATTTCATCCCAAAGACACCGAAACTTTTTATAAAATCTTTCTAAAACGATATACCGATCATGCACATTATGGGCGGGTTAAAATAGGTTTATTATTTTCCACAGCTTTCCTCTGGAAAAAAATAATTTTAGTTATTATTTATTATTACTTTATATGCACTAATACACACCTGCTTAAAGATAAAAATTCTTGTGTGAGTAGTTTTAAGAGCATTATTAAATATTCATTATTTTCTGAAGATTTTTTTGCAAATTTATAAACCTTGTCCTTAGTTTCGTTGAATAAGCATTTTTTGCACTCCGTTATTTGACATGGTTGCTTAATTGCACCTTACATTTTTCTGTGTGAATATTTATTAATTTACCACAGTTAAAAAAAGGCATATACCTTCTGCTCAACGCAAAACGAGTCTTTATCCATAACTCGACAAGGACATGACATATGGCCATACTTTTTTTGCTTAGGTTGGCAGGACTGTTATATGTTTACATGTCAAATTTGAACGCGATCTGTAACATAGTTTTTTTTTAAGGCACTATAAACAAGTCAACCTCGAGTGTGTTTTTCGAATTTTACTATGGAAATTAACGTTGAGCAAAAAGTGTGTTCCAATGGAATAAGTGCGACGGACGCAATGAAAATGTTGCAGAAGGCATATGGGGAGTCTTGCCTATCACGTGCACGTATTTTTGATTGGTATAAGTCGTTCAAGGACGGCCGTACATCGCTGGAGAACTTGCCCCATGATCGTCGTCCAGCAACGTCAATAAACGAAGAAAACGTCGAAAAAGTAAAGAAAATTGTGTTGGAAAATCGTCGTGTGACTGAAAGAGAGATAGCTAGTGAGCTCAACATATCAAATGGATCCGCTCATAGCATTATTCACGATGTTTTGGGCATGAGACGTGTGTCTGCTCGACTTGTTCCAAAATCCAGCTCATACGTCTCGTCTTGTACGCGATTATTTGACCAAAAACAACGTAAATATTGTTCCGCAAGCACCGTATTCACCCGACATGGCACCGTGTGACTTTTTTCTTTTCCCTGAACTCAAATTGCCGCTTCGTGGAAAGCATTTTCAGTCGATTGAAGTCATAAAAGAGAATTCGAAGAAGGAACTGAAAGCCATACCTAAAGCGGCCTACCAGAAGTGTTAGGAAGATTGGAAAAAAAGGTGGCATATGTGTATCGCCTCTAATCGTGACTATTTTGAAGAAGATAAAATAAATATTGAAGAATAATTAACCGTTTTTATTGTTTGAGCCAGTCTCGTTTATATTTGAGCAGAAGGTATATTCAATATATCATAATTATTCTAGAATTTGCCAATAATAGCCGCTCCTTTAAGAACATATATTAAAATAAACAGATTTTATTTTGAAAGCATATTGAAGTTTTACATATAACCAATATTTTTAGGAAAACTTTTTCATAAATTAAAAGAAAATAGCAATATGTAACCATTTTCCACCTCTTGCCTTCTCCCCCTTTACGATGATTACTATAATGACAAAAAACGACTGTTTCTATGTCGTTATCATAGTCGTTTCAAAATGGAGAATACCAATTTATTTTCGATAAATGTCGATGACGCCAACAGGAATGCCACGTAGCCGTTCTTATTTCGTTTTAAAACGAAAGCGACAACGGGACTAAGGCCGAATATTCTTGGTTTCATTGCCGCAGATGATTGGCCGTCTGAAAGTCAAAATTTGAATCCGTTGGAATACAGTTTGTGGACAGAGTTAAAGAACATTGCTTGCAAATTGCTCTGTGAAGGAGATTTTGAAAAAATGTATGGTTCAAGCAAGGACGTCAATAATTATATTTAGAAGCTGTGTGCTGCTATTGATCAATCGTAGAATCATTTGAGGGCTTGTGTGAAAGCCAAATATGATCATTTCGAATAAAACTTTGTGAATCGCCCATTTAATATATGTATGCGTGATAAAATAACATCAACTTGATGTACAATCATCAACAAAATGTATTAAAGTTTCATTTTTATAACGGCCTGAACTTGTAACAGAACTTATGGCAGGACTAATAGCGTCTTCTTTTCTTACAAAAATGTTGCATTTATTCTGCCCTACGCCGAGCTGTCAAAGTTGTATGTTCTTTTCTCAGAATATACATAATACAGTGGACCCCCGGTAATCCGGCCCCTGTCTAATCCGGCACCCCCTGTAATCCGACATACATATTTCGTTAATGCATGATTGAACAAGTTACAACTTGTACGGACCATCATTATTGTGCTCGACGCGTAGGGTATTGTTTTGATTCCGATTGCTTAGTTTGAATTTGACTACAGCCGATGAAGAATGGTGCGTGCGCCTAGCGTGTGTTCATTGTTTACTGTATATTCATTGTATATTACGTAGATATACGTACCTAGTAATGTCGTCACAAGCTCAAAAGCGAAAGCACAAAACACTGACAATTAAAGAAAAATGTAATATTTTAGACCGCCTAAATCGTAGTGAATCTTTCAGTAGTTTAGCAAGTGAATACGGGGTAGGCCGATCTACAATTTATGACATTAAAAAAACCACGAGAAGATTAAACAGTTTGTGTCAACTACTGACTGTGGGCCAGGCAAGAGACAGACACTCAAGAAAGCTGAACATCCAGAAGTGGAAGAAGCTTTATACATGTGGTTTCTTCAGGAAAGAAATAGGCATGCGCCCATTTCGGGATCCATGTTGGCAATGAAAGCTAAATATTTTTATAAAGAAATAACAAAAAAAGATGATTTTGTGGCTAGTAAGGGATGGCTAGAACGTTTCAAAAGTCGTCATGGCATACGTTTAATGACCATAACAGGAGAGAAACTTTCTAATGATGCCACCTGCATAGAGCCATTTAAATTAAGATTTTTGCAAAAGGTGAAAGATTTAAATCTTAACCCGTCACAGGTGTACAATGCTGACGAATTAGGGCTTTTTTGGCGTTTGTTACCTAATAAAACTTTTGTTTCCTACACTGAAAAATCCTTAGTCTTAGGCAGTACTCTACAATCCGACAAATTCGACAGTTCGACACTGCCCTGCAAAATGATTGTCGGACTACCGGGGGTCCACTGTATATTATATATGTAACCTATGTAATGAGCAAATATGCATAGTATAATTTAAATATTTTGAAAAATGGTGAATAAGAATAAAAATAAGAAACTGAAAAATATTTAATTTAAAAATTTTATAACATTTAGTAGTATTAAGCGTAATAATATATGTATATACATGAATTTTAAGATGCTATCATACTTATTTCTTTTAACCACAAATGATTTAGTTCGAATATCATTTTACATTTTGTTTAAAACAAGATATATAATTAAATCATAAATTTTTTGTAATAGAAAAAATATGGCTTACAAAAAATGACGGGTGTATACTTCCCTATAGATTAGGACAAGCTCGTCATAAATTTGGCCTTGAAAATATTCAGGGGTGTTGTGGAATCCAAGACAGATTTGCGTAGTTGTCAGAATTGCAAACCAACTCTGATTTTTAATGATGTCCCAGAATCTTATTCTTCTTTTCGCCTTTTCGAACATATGCAAAACCAATATTCGAATCAGCGAAGCTTTACTAATGTGACAAAACTTGAAAATGAATAAATTTGGAGGTTTTTAATAATTTGAAATACGGAATAAAGTCTACCAAAGTTTACAATGAGTTCCGATATTTTAGCTTTTATTTTATTGGAAGAAAAAAACAACGAAAAAATTAAAAGGAAGATTTTAAAAGATCAAAGTAATCCTCTTGATGCACTAGGGGAGTCGTATGTGAAATTTGGCTCGCATTTACTTGTGTGTTTGTATACATGCTTACTTTACAGATTTATATCACATTATCGACTGAATAAAGACGCATTTGGGTGTTAAATTACGTTTTGTAAATCCTCTTAAAATATCTGAATTTTGTCCCATAAACTCATTTATTATGACATTTTGTGTTTTGTTATGTTTTCCCATATAGAAATAACGATAAATTGAATCGTATTAATAATACTAATTAGTTTCTTAACTTACATTTCAAGTCTACAACGAATATCCTCTTGCTTTGTTTCTGATAACAAAACCGATAAAATTGGTTTCCGTGACACCGAAAAGCGATAAAAAATTTCTGTTTCGAACGTCAAACTAATAATCTATGAATTCATGCCACCTACTACATTTTCTTATCGGTTTCAATTCTGATTCCGACAACTATCAGATTGTGCAACACACCTGATTAATAGCGGGCATTCTAATTATAGTTCTATCACATGCATGGTAATTTCTTGCAAGCAAAATGTGAGACCACACTCCCAACATACAAACGAAATATGCATAATGAGCGACAAAGGAGACCACATGTGAACGCCATCTTAAGCTTAATAACTTATATTGCAAATGAGTTGGTTGGCATTTTTTTGTTGTTTTGTCATGTAAAAAGTGGAACATTTATATGTTGCCATATAATGAGGCAACACTTTCATCGAGAAAAGAAAACACTATAAGTATGGAAGGAGGGGGTGCTTATGAACTGGTTTTATCCATTTTCTCAGCAGTTGAAAAGCTCGAAAGACTTGACTTAATTTGACGACGAGCATACAAATGAGTTCGATTCTACCAAGCTTAACTCTTTTAAATCCTTAACTTACATACCTACTTAAAGCGTTGAGCTGCGCGTTTTTTACCGCTCAGCGTTAACGCCGACGCAACATCCCCAATAAAGCGGCAGCTTTACGTCAATTACTGATTTAAATTCTATGGTAAAATTATTTAAAAAAAAAAAAATGAAATGCAAAACGAATTAATTTAAGTAGAATACTAACATCCATTTTTACAAGAATTAAACATAGCACAGCAGCAAATTTTTCGTTTTCTGCAGCCAACTTTACTTTTTAACGCGCTGTCCAAATCGAATTTTTCAACCTCTCAGACCTGCCGTTTCGTTTATTTAGGTATTCGTTGATTTCCATTTCTTTGTTTCTTTTTCGGTTTTATGTCAAAATGGAGCAATGTTGCCAACAAATACTTTTATGAGTACTTCCCAAAAATGTAAACTCAGAGAAGTATTAATATATGTACATAATATATGTACATAATTAAAAGTCAACCGGTGGGACGATAATCTTCATATTCTATTCATGGAATAGAATATTACAATTTTTCGATGAGAACTACCACATCTCAGAATTTTTGTTGAAATAGTTCGGATCGTTCAAGATATGCGTCAATTAAACCGTCTAGAGTGCGGTGCCTCTCCCACTTTGCAAACGAAGATTTCTTAGTCATCCTGTGCCAAATTTCAGATTTGTTAGGTAATTGATTACTGAGTTATAGCACTTCTGGCATTGAATTATACACCTAAATATTATCTGAAAAATAATTAGTTATCAAGGTCTAATAGTAATTGATTAATATTTAATTTTAACAAAGTTTCTTTCTCCAATAAGTATAGTATATTATATCATTAAGCATTATAAATCATAGTCTGGAATTGACTTCCGAATTTTTGTTTACAAATACATTTTTTTATTTAAATTATGTAGTGAGTTTTTATTATAACTTTATTCCATCCATTAATTGAGTTTTGATCTTTTTTTTGCTATTGCGTCCTCTACAGCACGAAGCTGTTTTAATAATTCCTCCCGTCGGGATTTTTTTAGATCCTTTTCGGAGTTAATCGAATGTGTTGGTGACGAAGCAAGTGCTGATACTCCTACTGTGGGTTGCTTCTTAATTTCGATAGATATTGGTGATCTCTTTTTAGTCGGTTCCGCTGAAACAATATTATAATATATTACTATGCCTATTTATTTATTTTTCAAAAAACATATATCGATTCAATTTTTAAATTATCTTCCAATAGCAATATTATAAAAAGCCAAATTACCCTACAAGACTACACTAGCATTTGCGCAATTGCGCAATTGCAGTAAAACACTGCAAGTATGTTAAACATTTACAATCAATGATTGACCCAAACATACCAAATGTTTGTTCCGCATATAGGGAGTCTCTGACATTACCCTAACCACCTCTTTACATACCGGATCAAACCTACTCATCTAAAACGACTTCCTCTATGATCCAACACGGTTCTTTTTATTGAAATTCTTTCCACTTTCAAATTTCGCAAATCGCTGTAAGGGTTTATATAGTTTATGAAAATTATGACAGATGTAAGGGATACGATTCCAGATAATTACGGATTCTTTATTCTAAAAACTGGTTCTTTTAAAATTGAGGTTTTCTACTTTTCCCATTTACCTATAAATAAATGTCTTTTAGCATCTTCAAATATTTAAACGTAGATAGATATGTTTGATGCTATTTCACAAATGATATCATCAGGATAACAAACCAATGGCAACATTTAACATATATCTGAAGACTATTTTTGGAATCGCGTTCATATTCTAATGATATAATTACGAAATTAAATATAAATGGACATATATACTTTTCCTTATACGTTGTGATACTTTTTTTTCGGAATATCTTTTGGTCCAATTATAATTTACACTGCAGAACATTAGAAACAAACTTCGAAATTAATACAAGGTGCAATTCAAAAGTTTCAGGACTTTTATTAAAAAACGAATATTATTTTTTTTTTTTGAAAAATTTATTGGTAGCCTTCAAAATAGTCTCCTTCCGCCTGAATACAACGTTTTGCACGTTCAAGAAGGTTATCGAATGACTTTTTTAGGTCATTTGTCGGTATAGCGTTGAGAATGGCGGTCATCGCTTTTTGGATGCATCAACGTCAGCATAGCGGTAGTTTTCCGAACAAATAAAAATCGCTGGGTGCCATATCAGGCGAACAAAAAGTTTGGGTCCTTTTTGGCCTCTTTAATGATGTCTCTTGAATGTTGAATTCTGAGGTATTTTTCGTGTTGTTTCAAAGTGTGCGGGACAAATCGAGCACAAACCTTTCTGAGGCTCGAATTTTCTGTCAAAATACGATAAATCGACGCTGCGGATATTGATAATTCCGATTCCATATATTTAAGCGATGATTTCGGCTCTTTTTTAATGAATTCACGCACAATTTCCGTGTTTTTTTCGTCGTCTTCCAAGTCCTCCCGTCCCTCTTGAAAACGTTTAAACCATTCGTAAATACGGCTACGGGATAGACAATCATCGCCATAAACTTGTTTCCTCCTTTTGATGAGTTTTGGTAAAAGTTTTACCAAGTTTAAAACAAAACTTAATGTTGGCTCTTTGTTCGATGCTCATTTTCCGACCGAGACTGCAAATGTAATGTCACATGTAGCGCGATATCTCAGCTGTTATACAAGTCAGCTGCTATATAATTTTTATACGACAACACTGAAGAATACACAATTGAGGGATAACAATTTCAGACAGATGGCGCCACTGTTGTTTAAAAAGTCCTGGAACTTTTGAATTGTACCTTGTAGCAATAGTTACCAAGACAAGTATTAAGGTTTTCACTAGCAATTTTGTTCTGATAAAGTTATAGATATAAAATTATTGCCTATGGAAACAGAAAGTTTGTTTGATATTGCAAGAATACCGAGGATGAAAATGTAATTAATTTAAGCTATATATATAAATATACATATGTTATTAATATGTTATTAAGTACTTATTTATTAACAGAACTAAACGCACGGGGTATTTTAATTCTTTAAATGATTTGGAATTCGGGTTTTTTATTGTTACTTTTATAAAAACGTGGTTAGCTTACAACATTATAAAAATTCAGTATCTATTACTATTTCTCACTTACCTTTTTTCACAGATCTACGTTCATGGACTAATTTATCAGTTGTTCTAGAACGTTTAATGCTAGGCCGCTCCCTGGAGATTGACGAACTGTCAGAACTGGACGAACCAGAATCTGAATCAGAATCGCTTGAATCGGACGAATCTGAAATGACAACAGACTTTTTTTTAACGATTTCCTACGACACATTTTTCATTTCTTTCCATCTAGCATTTCTAAATCCCAATAGGAAAAATCGCCACCTAATCTACGTAAAATATTATAAAAATATGCTCCTTTGTTTAAAAATAACCTATCCACACGCTTTGGTTAAGTGTGTAAATATTTACAACATTTCTCTTCTCAAATATCCACGCGGGTTATGTAATTTCCGCTTAATCCATTCAAAAGCAAAGCTAATTATAACTAAGCTGTTGACTATTAAAAAAAATTATAACAAAAACCTGTACAGCTTTATATAATCAAAGCATAATCAAAAATTGTCAGCAATCCATAGATTTAGTAAATTCAGATGTCACCGAACATTTTATACTCTCGCAACTTCCCAGGATCTAAGCCGGAGAAATACTTTCAGGTGCTAAAGAACTCAACATTCATTGTTCGACGAAATCGTGAAAGAAAGACAATGAATTTAGTATTATTAACTTATGTACATATATATATTGTAACGGATTTCTCGATAAATCGTCTAACTATAACTCACTCTTGAGTTCGATCACTGGATTGTTGAATAAAAGTCCCAATTTAATGGCTATAGACTCATCTTTATTTCTAATTACAACAACTTAACACTTATTGCTCGATATTCGAGTTCACAACTTATTGCTTATAGCTTAATTGCTCTTTACACGGCAAAACTAATTAGAACTGTGTCTGCTGCACAATCCGGCAGCCCTTATATAGTAAATTCTTAACAAAAGTTCGCTACTAGAACATTCTGGCAACTACGAATTCGCTGTATAGTTGCTTCTGGCAGTTTATCGTCGATTCTGATTTGTTCCGATTAGACATATTTGCGGTACCAAATGCTGCAAGCCGTTCCAGATGAACCACCTTGATTTTATTCCTTGGTCTTCCAATGGTCTGTATGTGATACACTACATCATTGAGTCGTTTAATAACCTGGTATGGTCCTTCCCAATTACACTGTAATTTCGGAGATAACCCTTTCTTTCGTTGTGAATTATATAACAATACCCAATCGACTTCAATAAAACCCTCAGAGTTTATAGCCTTGTCGTATTTTGCTTTTATCTTATCGCTCATAATTTTGGTGCGCTGTCTCACCATATCATGTATATCCCTCATCTCGTCTTCCAGGATGCTATTGAATTCCTTAGTATTCCTTCCTCCGTTGGCGTTAATTCCAAATTTTTAATCAAGCGGTAGTCGAAGATCATTACCAAAAATTACCCTTGCTGGAGTTTGCCCCGTTGTTTCATGTACAGCAGACCGATAAACCATCAGTAATAAGGATATATGGGTATCCCAATCTTTTTGATACTTGTCCACAACTTTCCTCAAATGTTCTTCCAAAGTTCGATTGAATCGTTTTACCATGCCATCGGACTGCGGATGTAGTGCAGTTGTACGGGTTTTCCGGATACCCAGTTTCTGGCATATCTCTTGTATTAGAGTTGATTCAAAATTTCTCCCTTGGTCAGAATGTAATTCTATTGGAACACCATATCTCGATAAACAATTGTTGATGAATACATCCGCTACTGTTCCTGCCTCTTTGTTAGGAATTGCGTATACCTCTGGCCATTTGCTAAAAAAGTCAATGACTACCAAAACATATCTGTTTCCTGATTTACTGATAAGAAATGGACCAGTTACATCCATGGCTACTCACTTAAACGGCGCACCTGAATTGTACTGCTTCATCTGACCATGACTCCTGGACCGCGGCCCTTTAGCAGCAATGCACTCGACATAATTGGCGATCCACTCCGTAACTGATTGAAGACAACCCACTCAATAAAATATTTGTTTTAATTTCTCTAAGGTTTTAGTGATACCCATGTGTCCTCCACTTGGACTGTTGTGCAGCTCGTTGAGAACTTCAGGAATTCTTACTTTTGGAAAAATCATCAGAGCTCGTGAACTTTGCCCATCTTCGCTTTCCCATACGCGATGCAAGCAGCCAGACACTAACTTCAAACTATTCCATCGTGCCCAATAAGCCTTTGCGACTGGGCTTCTGCAGCTATTTCTTCTCTCGTTGGACGTTTATTCATCTCCAATCCGTGTATTACACTTTTCAAATACGGATCCTCTTGCTGACATTTCCGTAGCTTCTCCGGATCCCAGTCTGATGTTATAGTCATTAATCGGATATCTGTAATGTCTTCTTTGGCCTCAGCTTTTGAGCAATGTCTGCATTCAAGATTACAGGGACGGCGGGACATGGCATCACCATTTCCATGAGAAGTCGTAACTTTAAAGTTTCTCAATCCACCGTGCCACCTGTCCTTCAGGGTTCCTGAATTGTAGAAGCCAATTTAATGCTGCATGATCTGTCCTGACCCGAAATTGCTTGCCATAAAGGTACTTATGAAAATGTTTGATGCACTTCAACAACGCCAGTAATTCCTTCCGAGTAACACAATAATTTCTCTCTGGCTTGCTTATGGTCTGGCTGTAATACGCAACCACTTTCTCATGCCCATCAATGACTTGTAATAGAACGCCTCCTACTGCAAATCCACTAGCATCCGTATCCAAAATAAACGTTGATCCTGGGACCGGGTATGCTAACATTGGCGCAGTACTTAACCGTTTCTTCAGAGTTTGGAAAGCCACTTCCTATTCTTTATTCCATTCAAAAACTCTGTTCTTTTTCGTGAGTTCATGGAGGCTACCAGCTACGCTGGCAATGTTTGGAACGAATCGTCTATAATAAGTACACAGTCCAAGGAAACTCCGCAATTCATGTAAATTTTTAGGAGCTGCCCAATCTCTTACTGCCTCTATCTTTTCATTAGCTGTGCAAATGTCCTCCGTTGTTACTTTGTGTCCCAAGTAGCTTACTTCCTTTTTGAAAAGGGAACACTTCTTTGGACTCAGCTTCAGACCAGCGCTAGCTATCCGTTGGAAAACCTCTTCCAAGTTCTTAAGGTGTTCATCGAAGCTTTTACCCAACACGATGATATCGTCGAGGTATACCAAACAGGTCTTCCAGTGTAATCCTTTTAATACCTGGTCCATAAGTTTCTCAAAAGTAGCAGGAGCGTTACATAATCCAAAGGGCATTACGGTAAATTGCCATAGACCATCTCCAACGCTGAAAGCCGTCTTTTCTTTGTCTTCTTCGTTTACCTCCACTTGCCAATAACCACTTTTTAAATCAAGTGTTGTGAACTATTTTGTGTCTGATAACGAGTCCAGTGTGTCATCGATTCTAGGTAGTGGATAACTGTCTTTCTTCGTTACATCATTCAACCTTCTATAGTCCACACAAAATCTCATGTTGCCATCTTTCTTCTTCACAAGTACTACAGGTGAGCTCCACGGACTCTCTGATGGTTCGATTACGCCGCTTTCGCTCATTTCACGTATGGTCTGGCTTACAACTTAACGTTTTGATAAAGTAACGCTCCGAGGAGCCTGGCGGATTGGTCTTGCATCACCTGTATTAATAAAATGTATCACAACTTTGGTTCTTCCTGGTTTGGCATCGTCTTTATCAAATATGGATGAGTATCTGAGAAAAAGTTGTTTAGCCGTAGTTTGATAGTTTGCCTCTAGATCCTCTGTCCATGCGCTTATTTCGCTCGATATGTCGTTTTCGTCCATGGAATCTTCCTCAAGACCTATTTCGCAATTTATCACGGCCTCAATCTCTTGACACTGCCCTAATACAGCTCCTTTGGAGAGTTTGATTGGTAACTTGCACTCATTAAGTGCTCTTACTGGAACACGTTTATCTTGTGTTGTCATAGCCAAGGTTTTGCCTATAAGTAATTTTGGTGTAGATTCTTTTGTGGCCTCAACAATCCACCACTTGTTTGGCCCATAGCCTCCATCTATTTCTGCCCAAATAACTGCTTCTGATGTTGGTGGAATCTGCTGGCTCTCTGTTCTTATCACTCGTCTAACGTTATTATCGTAACCGAACATAAGTGGTACTTTCATATTTCTATAGGACATAATCCTGTTTTTCATGCCAATTTTGATTCCTTGATTCGCTAGAAAGTCTACTCCAATTATGATTTCGTCAACGATATCTGCCACTATAAAATTGTACAACACGGCTGCCTTTCCAATTACGATCTCGCAACCTTTCCGATAACTAGGGTATCTTCTCCAGTTGCAGTACTCAACTTTGCCCCAGCTAACGGTCTCATTTCTTTCTCAACCAGATCAGATCGAATTATGGAATGTGATGCGCCCGTATCGACAGTCAGTATGCGCTTTTTACTGTCTACACATCCACCAGCAGTAACGTTACTCGTATTCCTGCTTATTTGTGAAATGGAGATTACAGGGCATTTGCTTGCGGGAGCCAGCCCGTGCCCTTTTCGGCTGGCTCGCTTTAGTTTAACGATTGGTTTGATTTGACATTTGTTTGATCTTCCTCAGCTTTGCGTTTACGTCCAACTGGATTATTGGGCTGGTTACAGTTGCGTGCAATATGGTCACTTTTTCCGCAGTTGAAGCATTTATGCACACCATGATAATTGGTTAACCCAAGTGTGTTCCTCTATTTCTACTTTGTGAGCTTTAAATATTTGATCGCAAAGCAGATGCAGTTTCCTGTGTCAGAGCATACGAAACGGTTTCTGTAAACGTCAATTTTGGACATGCTAATGCAGCGAAGCGTGTAGGGTTATCTCGTACTCCATTGACGAAAGTCTGAATTTTCGTGTCCTCGATGTATTCCATGGATTTATGTGCATAAGCTAAGTGAGCTAACCCCTCAATCTCTGTACAAAACTCCTGCAGAGACTCATTGGCTTTCTGGCGGAGATTTCGCAACTTTGAAAGATCTGCTTCCTGTGCTCACTACCATACCGTCTTTCTAATGCACCCATTAACGTTTCATAACTACTCGCCTCGCAGTTTGGAATGGTCTGTAATATCTCCGCTGCAGATCCTTTTAATGCAACGAACAATGCAGCTACTTTATCTTCAGCGTTCCAATTATTTAAAGATGCCGTCTTTTCGAATTGAATCTTAGAAACGTAGAACGGAATTTATTTGACAATCCCACTTCTGACACCAATTGCAAGTTCGCTACTAGAACATTCTGGCAACTACGAATTCGCTGTCTAGTTGCTTCTGGCAGTTGTCGATTCTGATTTGTTCTAGTATTCGTGTTCGCCACAATATAACAAGTCTTGGACTCGCTTATATAGTGTGACGAACACGGATAATAGAACAAAATCGAATCGACGATAAATTGCCAGAAGCAACTAGTTAGCGAACTCGTAGTTGCCAGAATGTTCTAGAAGGAATGTTTTGTTAAAGATTTACTATATAAGTGCAGCAGACACAGTTCTAATTAGAGTGCTCTTAACACGACGCAATTGAGACATAAGCAGGAAGTGCTAAGCTCGAATAACGAGCAATAAGTGTTAAGTTGTTGGAGTTAGAAACACCGATAAGTGTATAGCCATTAAACTGGGACCTTTATTTAACAATCCAGTGATCGTTTTTTGCATTTCCAAATTATTAATATTAAAATCAACCTACAAATGAGATGAGTGTGATATAAACTCAATCAAATCTAAATTTAATATATGGGGTAATGAGGGCAACGCCAATCAAAAGATTGGAAATCCCAATTTTATTATAGACTAATGAAAATCATTATATGTAGTATATGGGAGCTATACTGGTATATCCAATATTATACCTTCACCTAATTTTGCTAAGATATCGTACTTATTGACCGATATATATTGTGGGATTTGGCAACCCTAGTGTTGCAATCTGGCAACTGACAACTTTATAGTAAAGTTAAACATTTTTGATGTCATACATACACAGAACGTTTGACATATGAGCGCTATTTTTGTTGTTTACAGTAACTTGAAATATTCATCTCGGCAAAAATGGAATAAAATCGCTAACATTTTCGGGCAATTTTTTTTTTACAACTTGTGAATTAACTTAGCAACAGTGCGTAGATGAACTTAATTAAATTTTTAGCAAAGAAGCTTTATCAAGGACTAGTATTTGTCGATGGTATGGTGAATTCAATCGAGGTCGTAAGTCACATCAAGACGAGTTTCGTGAAGATCGTCCAAAATCTGTCGTTGTACTGGAAACTATTGATTATGGTTGCCTGTTTTCTGTTTTTGGAAAAACTGGGCATGTCGCAACCATACCACCAGAACAACGTAAAACAGTAAATTCTGAGTGGTACACAACCATTTGTCTGCAATTTGTCTTTCAAGAAATTAGGAAAACCAACCGCCGAAGACGGATCATTCTTCACCACGACAACGCGAGCTCTCTGAGATCGACTGAAACAACTGGAGTTTGAGCATTCAATTCAACGATATGATGAGTATAGTCCCTGACTTGGCACCGAATGACTTCTTTTTATTCCCGTTTGCAAAATATAAACTAAGAGGTCAGCGGTTTTCAACACCTGAAGAGGAGGTTGATGCGTTCAGAACCCATGTTTTGGAGATACCTTAATCAGAACGGCAAAAGTGCTTCAACAATTGGTTGGATGCAAAAGTGTATATATCTTAATTGAGAATATTTTGAAAAACAATAAAGCGATATTCGAAGGAATATTTTGAACCGATTTTACCCAGTTTTTGTATTATGACATATCATTACCAGAAAACCAAGATTTTCTGAATTTCATTAAGAAACATCTCAAGTTGACAAATATACAAGATAAAAAGCGAATGTTTGAAAATCCGTATCATACATTAAAACGTAAGAAAAAATACCTTGAGGACACTATTTGTGCAAAATTTTAAAAAAATTTAATAAATTTTATGATAACTTCATTGAAAGAGTCAGATGGAATTTAAGTTTTATATATAGAAAGTAGGATTCGCTAATTTACACTGTTTGGATAACCACACACACAAATTGGTTAAGTAGTTCCTGAGATATAGGATACTTAAAGATGGGCGATACCACGCGCTTGTCCAATTTTTACGACCGAACCTATAAAGCCCTTCCCTAACATCTTGGTTGTGAAATTTAATACTTGTAACTCATTTATTCAATGGTTTATCGCACTGTTAGTAGTTTTTAACATAAACGGTATATGGGGAGTGGGCGTGGTTATTATCTGATTTTACCCAATTTCACAGTTTCGGAAGAAGTGCTAAATATACTTCTTTTCAGCAAGCTGGTTGATTTTGTTTTAGTAGTTTGAAAGATAGGTACATTACCATTTAAGGGCGACAGTTGTATCTTGCTACTGTGATCCTTTATACCAAATCACTCGGAGTTCAACTCGTCTCGTCATCCAGACCATTTACATATATATATACATAACTCCATATCTATCGGTGATATAAATAACCGTTAGGTGAACAAAAGTATTATACTACTCTCTGTTGCGACATGTTGCGAGAATATAAGAAGTCTTTCAGTTCAAGTTTACTGATGATTTTTAGAAAACGTATATTTTTACTTACTTACGTACATATACTAAAACTTACATCCCTATTGCGTATCTATAATAATGCGTTTACAGTTGCTGTTTGGTAACAGTATACCCAAATAAAAATTACGATTAGATAAAGGCTAAGTATCGCAAGTAACTCAGTTGCCTTTAGAGTACGCAGAAATGTCAAGATAAGGAAACTCGTCAAGCAGTTGCCTACACTTTTTTGCGATTTTTGGGGTTTGAATACATAATATCTTTAAAGAAAATATATATAATTTATTAACTGATTTTTCAGTAATATTTGCATTCACACTTGGTTGTGAAATTTTCTTTATGAATTTGCATTGTTAATGTATTAATTATATTTATAATTGTAATAATAGTGCCTGAACGCTGCTTTCTTATAAGTTGATAGTTAGCACGCAAATTTTCAAATCCTTTAAAGTTTCTTATATAAACCAACGGGAGAAAATGTGGCACGTAGCTCACAAAAATCTGGTAATCTCACTAAGAACGGACAAATTAATTTAAATTTACTGAATATAACGATTTTTATTTTTTATGGAAGTCATTGTTTTCCTGTTGCGAATTCTTGCACAAATTTGAACAATGCTGCCAACAAATACCATAATGAGTGCTTCTCAAAAATGTAAACTCAGGATTGTTATCTGCCTATTAGAGTTTGCTGGCATCATTAGCTATCAGCAATGCATAATGCTATTATGATTGGCATGGCAAGCAGACAGAAAATTTTATTTTAGCAGCCTAGCACAAAAGGGGTGTTTGTAAGCGTTTAAATGAATTTATCTGTAATAATATTTTCATATACATATATGGAATCATATTTAAAACAAGCACATCTAAATATAAAAATCTACCTGTTCCAGAAGAGCTGGATGTTACCCGATGTCTGGATTTCGATTTGTCTGATTTTTTTGCTACTGCAGTCTTTTTTCGTTTATGCATTGGACTGTATGCACTTCTCTTTTCCATAGTAGGAGATAATGTAGCTTTTCTCTTAGCGTTGGGAGAATGTCGAGTACCTGCAAATTAAAATATATTAAATATAAAGGGCACATCAGAAAATATTGCCGACGTGCAAAATCTCAGCTCTAAATTATTTATTTTAAAGACCATCAATCCTTAGGGTAATGACCAATTCTTTATGGAAAAGGAAGATCTACATTTATTCGCTTTATTTTTAAAATTTTTAACTAAATTAATTTTTCCCTAGTCTTAAACACTGAATTTATCATATTCCTTGAAACAAATAAAAAAAATATATTCCTTCAGACAACTTCATTGGTTTTTCATATTTTCTAATATTATATATGTAAGCAACATTCAATATATTATTCATGGAACAAAATTAACAACAAAAAAATATTAAAAATGAGCAGTTATTGCAGTAGCACAAAAGTAAAAAAGTTTTACGGACTTATAGGATTTCCCTAGGGGAACCGTAAAAGTGAATCAAATTTAATAAAAAAATATACACATAATGTAAATGTGTACCAAATCTGACTTCTTTATTTGTTTTTTTGTGAGCTCCGATAATGTCAATAATTATTGTATTTAAAGTTTGAAGAAGTAAAAAACAATTTTAAAATTCACTAAATTTTATAAATTTCATTTAAAAAATATCTTTATCTGTTTTCAAAAATTCATTTTGTATTTATAAGTAACGATATATTATATTTTTTGGTTGTTACTACACCTTAGAGTTGATGACAAATTTTTCACGTAATTTGTGTTATTATCATATTATTATAAGATATTTTCTGAATAAAGTGAGGTAAGTCCGAACTAATATATCTATAATTACCATTGAGGTACATCGACAAAAAAATTGGTTGAAATGTTCTAACTAAATGTAAGAACAGTGTTCAACATGATAAATCGCACTCACAAAGATACAAATACCAATAGGAAAACAGATTGAAAAGCTGCAGCTTAGAGTGGGATAGTAAGAATATAAGTATACTCACTTGGAGAATGACGTGGGCGGCGAGGCATACTAGGAGATCGAGCAGAACGCATTCCATGCCTACGTGCAGGCGATGCTTTATGAGAACTGTTATAACGTCGTCTGTGTCCTGTCGGAGTAGAAGAACGGCTACTTTCTGAACTTGAATCAGATCGGGAACTGCTTGAAGATGAATACGAGGAATTGCTACTATAACTACGCCGATCATGGCGGCGTTTACTACTATGGTCTCGAGATTCTCCACGGAGGCCTGGTGATCTCATCCAAGGGTCACGCCATTCATCCCCACGACCGACGGGCTCAACTCGCTGTACAATTACTTCCCGAGTAGGACGCACTCGTCTTTCATCTTCGTATTGTGGCATGCGATGAGGAGGTAACTCACGATATCTTGTAGAGCGACCATATGAATCCACATCATCATATGCTGCTGGTAATGGAGGTCCACGAGCAAAACGCTCAGTTGGACTGTACATGCCCAGTGGTTCTTGATATAAATTATGTCGACCATACGGTGGAGCAATCTATGTATTAAAATTTTGACAATTTTTTCTTTTCCCAATTTCACTTAATTCCACAATTGTTACTTACATCTTGCGGAGAACTTCTTTCCTTCAAATAGTATGCGTCTTTTTCTATTTCATCTGGAGATAGAGTCAAATTCATTTTCTTATCTTCGAAATCCATATCTTGCTCTTTTCGCTTATTTGCTTTGCGCATCATTTCTTTTGCCGTTCTCAATCCACGTTCCCAAGCACTTTCTATAACGACAGGAGCATCAGCTGTTGCGGTTCTTGGGTCATGGTGTGCATTATAACCTGAAGGTGGATGCTGTAAACCTAAACGGTGATGCAACGCTGGACGATCGGTGCGAAAATCATGATAATCAACTGTATGAGTTGGATAATTTGAAGACCGAGAAGCGGATGGACCTGTTTGTGTTACGGGAACAGGACGTACTAAATCAAACATGGTATAATTTCCTTTATCAGTTACGCCAGGATGAAGAAAGCGACAGCTCATTCCCCATGTACATTGGCCACGTGTATAAAAACGACAGACTGGTTTGGGTTCAGTCTCTTCCGGACGTTTCTCATCTTCATCTGACACCTCCCCTTCTTCTAATTCTTCTCCATCCTCGGCTTCTCCATCAGATTTGGAATTTTTTACCCTATCATTGCTTGGTTTAGTTTCTTGTTCATCTACAAGCTTCTCATCATCTTTACTTATATCTTGGCATTCACCTTCTTCAGCTTCAAAGTCCAAAGCATCTTCATCATTGGGTTTGACCAATACTTCTATCGGATCAGTTTGCCTCTCGTTTTCAGCCAAATTGGTAGTTCCATCAATTGCTTTTGACGTTTCGGTAGTCTTAAAAGAATATATTACGGAATTCAATAAAATAAGTTATTAATTAAGAGAACTGAAAAAATAAAAAATAAACTAAAATTTGAGGTAATCTAAAACAATGCAGTTGTGCTCACATAATTAAGCCACTGCATCGCAAAATTTCGTTTCAGAATATTATATAAAGCCCTCGAAGCAGCTTTGCATTCGTATAAAAGTATGGAAAACGGTTCTGTTATCTGTGTCGAAATTGCTAGGGACATATTCAGAGAAATTAGTAATGTGGCTGGCGATTTGGTTGGAAATTTACCAAAAGTACAAACATTTTTCGAAAGTAACGGAGTATTTGACTGAAAACCTGACTTTGAAATACAACATTTAATGACGATAGGCAAATAGTACGGATAAGCCAGGTGGATCCTTTTTTGAAGTCACGCATAAGCAAGCTGTACGTGTATCAGCATATATAGCCCTCCGTTGATTACAGAAAAACTCCCTAAATGCTTGCGCTTGCGAGGTAGCACCAGCAAAAGGACTCAAAACTCTGGGATCTAGTGGTTTGGAATGATGAGTCCAAGGTTACTATCTTTAGGAATGATGGCAGGTGATCACCACTACAAGAATTAAACCCCCGATATACAAAATAAAACTGTGAAACACGGTGGATCATCAGTCATGGTATGGGGGTGCTTCTCTCCATTGTACATGTTGAAGCAAAATAACTGGCAACCTAAAGCATTGCTCCAGGATCGTTAAAGACTGCTTTGCGATGAACCACATCAAGTGTCTCAAGTGGCCTGCCTAAAGCTCGGACTTAAACCCCATAGAGGATTTATGGAGGAATATTAAGAGAACAATTGCGTCTGGAAAACGGTTGAATAAGGCTAGATTGTGGCAAATCTTAGGGCGGATGGAGCAAAATTACCCCGGACCAATGTAACACATTAGTTCGTAGAAAGAGCAAACACTGCAGGAAAGTGATTTTGCAAAAGAGCTCCCAACAAAATACTGTACTAATAAAGCGAGTTTTTAAACAAAAAATTGAATTCTTTTATCTGACATTTTTTTGTTGCTAATATAATATATTAGCACGAAATATACATACCAATGAAGAAGAAAGTAGATTTTTGTTTTTATATTAAGATTTAAAAAACATTTAATTTTGAGAAACTTTTTTTTTTCGAATTATCAATAAAATTCAACTTTTATGAATTTGTACACCATAACGTTCATGTGGCTTAATTGTGTGATCACAAGTGTATGTATATAAACAAATGAAAAAAAAATCAATTCAATATATTTGTGACGGAACTACGAAGAGAATAGATGTTATTACGTAAAAAGTATACATGTGGAAATTATTATTCAAATCATAACGATTTCATAAATAAAAATGCTAAATTTAGAAGTACCTTTCCTTGCGTTTTAATTAAATCTAGTTTTTGGCGCAAATCGGTTATAACAGCATTCTGGCTATTTTCGGTTTCCAAAGAGTATCGTAGTTCTGAATTGGCCTCTTTGTGACCTTGATCTAAATTAATTGATGCTGAAGAAACGTTTGTAGCTTCGTCCTCTACAGATGGCTTACTGCTGTTTAAAACAGCTTCACGTTTTTCACTCTCCATATCGCTCACATCACTCAATTCCTCGTGGCTTATATTTTGCACACTATTGCCGAAATTAGAATTGGGACTGTTGCTGCGACTGCTATTTGATGATACACTTGAATGTCTCGAGCTTCGTAGAGACTTCGTGGGCTGCGGTGACCCAGAATGGCTTCCTTATATTCAAAGAAAAATTGAAATGTATACTTATATTGCACATTCAATGAATGTTATTTTATCCTATAATTTTGCCATGTTAAACTCCAAAGCATATCAGATTAGTAACATATACATATATCGTACAGACATAAGATACAACCTTAAATTTAATTTAATTTTCTAACCTACCTACCTAATTGTGTATTTAAAAAAAACACAAAAGATTCATTGTGTAATGATATTTTAATGTGAATCTGTTGCTGGTAATATATAATTAACTATTCATTGTTTACAATATGTTCAAGACATGGCAGTTACATAAATTTTTAAAATAAAAAAGATCTAATCGGTATCGAAATTTTTTAAAAACCATTTATTGCAAATATTTAATTTTTATTTCAAACTCTTGATTTTACATGCAAAAAAATATATATATTTCTCTTTCATTAGCTGCTATATAAATTTTAATTGAAGCTAGTAAATTTAGAATTGCATAAAGGTGTTAAACAAATTTATTGTCAATATCCATTTTGTTGCACCTTTTTTAATTATAAAAACACCTAATCATAAAAACATCCGTTTCTGTTTTTAAATTTATTTATACAAAGCTTTAATTCAATAGTTATACATAAATTATCCTTTCTTTTTTCTGTGACACCAAAACGCAGTAATATATAATATATTGCACTGTTACAAGACGATCAAAAGTTTAAGCTGAACTAAAAAATGTATGTGTGGCTACATAGTATATATAGTAAGTATAATAAAATATGTAGTAAAAAACTAAAAAACATAACTTCATAGCACATCAAACTAAAAAGGAGAAAATAATATAGCTTAGAGAAATTTAAAAAAAAAACACAATTTTAAAGCACATCAAACTAAAAATTGGAAAATAATACTTGATAAAAGCGGACAATAATAATAAACGAAATACATCAACATATATTACTGTGAGAAGAGGTTGGGTTGCTCGATATACGAAATATGTAGCCCAAAGAACCGCACGCTAACCTCACAATAATACAAGGATTTTCTGTTCATCGTTGTTTTCAACATATTTATATTGACATTTTACTCAGCTTTTACAATAGTTTGATTTCCTTTAAATGCGTGTTTTTTTTTCTTTTAATATATTTATTATTTATTTAGGGCATATTTTTTCCTTGCTTGTTTATAACATATTTACGCCTTTCAGTTGTAGCAACACACATTTCAAAAAAGTTTACAAAATATTGTCCACAGGTGAAATAAAATCATTTATAATCCATCAAAAATACTGTAACACTTCTTAAAAATTTACTATATATTGTGAATGTGCACCTATCGAAGTAAATTAAATACGGTAACTTACTTCTGTTCGATAAATTATCTTGTGGGGATTTAATACCATCGTTTTCATTATCACTAGACGAAGAAGATGATGAAGAATTAAAGTCAGATTTTGAAGAAGAATGATTGGAGCAACGAGAATTTGTCCTTGATAACTCTCGCTCTTCCGCATTATCAATTGCCACTATATTGGGTGCATTTGTAATTTCATTTACTGGTTCCGTTGAAGATCGTGAATTTTCCGTTGATGATGATGATGAGTTTGATACCGAAGACTCGGCATTTGAATCATCCGAATCCATTTTTTTATTAAATTTTTATTCGCGCCACACGAAAACTGGAACGCTGCGAATGGAGACATTTGAACATATAATAAAAAACATTATCTAATTTTTGAGTGGGGAACACATATTCATCTTCTTTTTTATTTAACACTTAAATCTTTATGCTGGAAACAGTCACAGACGCAAAACCTTAGACCGAATCAACTAATACGGCCTATCTTATGAGAGCACAATGTAATTGAACACTCACAGCTTCTACCGTCCGCTTTTACCGACCGTACGAGGGGATATCCTCGAAAACGTAGAAACGAGTCAGCTGATTGCTCTCTTGTAAAGCAGGGTTGCCAGTCTCGATATTTTGTAGTAATTAAAAAATAAACTTAAATACATTTGAAATATTTTTAAACTACCTCAAATTTATAGTCAAATACAATATAATAATAGTTGGATTTTAGTTTTGAGCTTTTACATTATGAAAAATTATAAATAAAAAGCTAGATGTGTTCAAAATCGAGTATGTAAATTTAACAATAGTAACATTCGTTAAATAAAAAGAAAAGAAAAAAGAACAACTGATTTCTACGTTGCCACTACAGGCATAACTTTTGACAAATTTCCTTTGATAGAGTCGGGAGGTACGGAAGGGCGGAATGTCGGTGACTGTTTCTAACATTATGAGTATTCAATAGAACAAATACTTATGCATAAAATAGATCTAACGCATTTTCAAAATTTATAAATTTATTCCCACTACTTTTCGATTTATGTATTTGGCTATTTATTACGAAAAGTAGAAGAGAAGAGATTGATTAAATATACTCTTGTAACAAGTTGCTACAGAGTATAATAGTTTTGTTCACCTAGAACTAATCGCGATAGATATAGGGTTATGTATATATAAATAATCAGGATTACGAGACAAATTGAAATCCGTACGTCTGTCTGTCCGTCTCTCTGTACAAGCTGAAACTTGAGTACAAATTAAGATATCTTTATAAAACTTGGTACACATGTTCCTTTGCAAAAACAAAAAAAGTAAGGACAAATTCGTAGATGGGCGTAATCGGTAAATATTTTCAACCCTTCTTATGAAAATAGGTGAAATCGGATAATAACCCCGCCCACTCACCATATACCGGTTTTGTTAAAAACTACTAAAAGTGTAATGAATCAATAACTAAACGCGTCAGATACATTACATGTTACAACCACGATGGCACCAGAGGGCTATATAGGAGCTGGTATCATAAATGGACAGTGGGCGTAGCACCGGCCACTTTTAGGGGAAATCACTTACAGAATAGCTCACGAATCTTGCTACAAAAACAAACCGTAATAACGTCTTTTCTATGTGAGTAATCATTATACTTCTTTTTATTTGGCTGGTTGTTATTTAAGTTTTTTAGGAATTAATGTTTGGGATACCAAACAGAGGGTTTGTATAGTACAGCGGTACCATGCTTTGAAGTCCGCTATTTACGTCAAAAGGGAAATCAGACGTTAATTTGGCGGCACTCTCACGAGTAAATGGACTTGACGATGAGGTTGGTAAACATGGTTGCCCAATCTGGAAGTATCGCAAGAAGACCGTATGTTCGTGTTCAAGAAACAATCGCGGCTGTTGTGAGAGTTAAGACTCGCATTTCACCGGATAATTCATGATGGCTTAAACCTGTTTCCGTACAAAGTTTAAATGATAAGCCGATTAAACAATATAGACTTGCCTATTTGCCTGTAATTTTGAAATTACCGAAGAAGACAATAACTTGATAAATTGCCTGTTTATGTCTGATGAGCCCATTTCGAAGTAAGCGGAAATGTAAACAACCAAAACTGCTGTATATGGAGTAAATCAAATGCAGAAATAATCCACAAGACGGAACTTTACCCAGAACGAGTCACTGACTCTTTCACATGCCAGTATAAAAATAAAGCACCAATTAATACATCGGGATAAAACTTTGCACGAGTAGTCCCTCTAAAATGTGCCACATTATGACCAAAAATACTCTGACCGTGTGAATAAACTTGACCTCAACGTCAACAAATGCCCTCAACTAACTATTATTTATTATGTATATTGCCGATAGGCGTAGTCAATAAATAAATAAATAAAATAAATATGAAACAAAGAGCGGAGTTGGATATTGCAACTGACTCCTATTTTCTACAGGATAACGACCCGAAGTATAAAGAAGACATAGTTAATCTTTGGATACTCTACCAAACTGCCAAGCAGCTTCAAAACTTCACCAGAATTACGAAACGTAAAATCCACACGCACAATTACCTCAAAGGATATGCGCACCAGGTGCCGATGGGCCCACATCGCTTCGAAAGAAACCTCAAAGCTTGTCTATTACATGCCACAACCCTAAACGAAAATTTAAAAACGTTGGGGATATCAGACTTCCTATTAATATTTAAGAATTCGTAGGAAGAATAGCTTTGTTCGATTATGTACGCTGTACGCAGACTTTTCCTAATGGATTTTCTTTCCACCTGCATGATTGGTTTTGTTTATATGTTACTTTCGGCTATTTAATCAATTATATTTTATAAAACTACATATTTAATGTCCTTTAATGAATATCAGATAAATTGGTTTTTATAACAAGTTTTTTCCCCAACAATTTTTTTTTTTGTTGGCACCTTGTACGCAGACTTTTCCTGCTCAGTGTATATATTTATTAAATTTTCCGCAAGAGTAACAATATCCGATATAGCTCTATACTGCAATTGTTGGTTTTACTATTATTTTTTGGTTTGTAAAGAAAGTGAATTTGCATATATTAAGCAAAATACCCATGGAGACTGTTATCAATTCTTACCTTTAAAATTATATAAAACAATGTCTTCTTTATTCCACATATTGAATATCTCCCTTTTATTTGTCATAACCTTCATTAAAAAAGCTGCGCGATATACCGATGAACACTTTTTACACTGCACTTTTACTAACTAAAAATGTACTCTTTTCACGACTTGACTGTTCTCGATTTTTCACTTACGCACATAATATACCGCAAATTTAACTTGGAAGCATTTAAGACAATACTTTAGTTCATTTATTTTTACATATTCAACTTGGTTGTACGTATTACGTATTTCTGGAAATCGCATATATTTTACTAAATCTTTATTTAAAAATCGGTGGAAACCGTCGATGAATCCTTACCTGGAGCGTTTTAATTACTAGAGCAATTTTTCAGGCAGTTATATGGAAAAACTGCTCTGTTGTTATTTGCCAACAAAACTACGACAAAATAAACTTTTGGTATACTGCTCTTCTCAATAGATGAAACACTAACGCTTTCAAATTTTTCTCACGCTAGGGTAAAATAAATCCATTAATTTAAAAACATGGCTTTTCTTTCGTCTCAGGGTTTCTTAGTATAATTGATTTGGTAATCAGTGCTACCAACCATAAAATTAAAAGTCGCTACACTAGTGCCGGTTCCCACACAATGACTTTTGTTGCTCAAACAACTGACGACTTTTGTCGCACCAGACCGGTTTATTGTGAACAAATGGACGACAGGAAAGTCGAAGTGACCATGTCTTTTGTGCTCGGATGGCACGCTTTTTGTTTTTGTTCGCAACAGTTCGCCGCTATGCGATTGAGATTCATTTTCAGATTGAAATCATTACAATGGTTGGAGAAGCGCTCGGTTTCAAATGAATACATAAGATATGTTTGGAAATTTGAATTTTGTTATATATTTTTGGAATGTAATATGCAAAAATGTTTAATATTACAGGAATATTATAACATATGGTGAATACGGATAAAATTAAGATACTCAAAAGTATTTAGTAACAGTTAGCAATTTTAACTGTAATAGTATATGTGTATAAATGAGTTTTAATAAAACTGGAGTAATTTCACTTTTATACATTAACACAAAATTTTTTTAATGAGTTTATATATGTATAAACGGATAGAAAAACTCCAAATGTGTGGCTCATGATCATGATCATAACCTAGTCCCCATTTAGGTGATAAATTCCAGATTCGTTGTCGTTGAGGTCATCTAACGGTCGGACCATAGGGAGAAGGGTGTTAGATGTGTGGGGTTTGTTGGGCATGCAAAGAGGTGGTTAGTGTCATGCGGGGACTCATTGCACGCAGGACATGTGTTTGGTATGTCGGGGTCTATTCTGGATAAGTAGGAGTTTAACCTGCTACAGTATCCAGAACGAAGTTGCGCGAGGGTCACTCTGGTTTCGCGAGGCAACTCGAGCTCTACATCTGCTATGGGTGATGGTTTGACTCGTAATACGCCATTTACTGAGAGGGAGTCAGTGAAGGTGTTGATGGCTCCACTGTGAATGGCGGTCAGTGCCTGTCTGACGTTCGTTGCGTCCGAAGTCCGGTCGGCGTACTGTCTAATGTCGTCGACGTAATCAAGGAAAGACCTCTTGATGTTCCTAGGAGGCGGCTCCGCTACAAGCAGGCGACTACAGGGGTGGTTTCTATGAAAAATGGAGAGGAGCTCGTTATGTTCCTTAACCGGAAGCATACGGGCCTCACTGTGTAGGTGGTCGATTGGAGACATCAAGAGGCATCCCGTGACAGTCCAGAGTGCAGTGTTCTGACAGGTCTGAAGCTTCCTCGTCTGCGTGGCACTGCATCCAGGCGACCGTATTGGGGCTGCATAATTTAGGACCGTTTCTTTGTCCCCAAGAGCTGCCGGCAAGCGATTTGAAGTTTATGTTGCGGTTCTGTACTTTGGCAGATATCGCGGTCGTGTGGGGAGTGAAGGAGCAAAGACTGTCTAGTGTAACGCCTAAAATTTTAAGGTTGTTTACCGTCGGAATTTTGGTGCCATCGACTGAAATGTTTAGATCCAGTCTGTACTCCTTCGTCCAGTTTGTAAATATGTTCGCTGTGGATTTGGTGGGGGAGAGTGTCAGACTCCTTGCAGAGAAGAAGCGAGAAAGATCAGAGAGATAGCTGTTTACTGTCGAGCACATGCCATCGCTTCCATTGCCCGACGTCAATATCGTTCAGTCATCAGCGTACGAGGTCACGGAAATTCCCTCTGGTGGTTAAGGGAGTTTCGAGATGTAGAAATTAAACAGTAAAGGGGAGGAAACACCACCCTGCGGAACCCCCTGTTTAATTCTTCTAAGTTTGGAGCTTTGACCTCGAAACATTACGGATGATTGCCGACCGCTCAGGTAATTCATGGTCCACCGCTTCAGCCCTGAAGGGAGCGTAGATTGCTCGATGTCCTCGAGTAGCGTTGTGTGGTTGACTGTGTCCAACGCTACGAGGACCATCCTCGGTGGCTTCTGGTTTAGGAATTATCTGGGCGTTTATGACGCCAAGTGCTGTGGTGGTGCTGTGCACTTTCCGGAAGCCATGCTGATGTTCTGCTAGACTGAGGTGGTGAGTGAACGTCGGGAATAACAAGGCTTCAAGTGTCTTCACTACTGGGGAAAGGAGAGTTATCGGGCGATAAGACACCCCTTTGTTGGCAGGTTTCCCGGGTTTCAGTAGTGGGACCACTCTTCCGACTTTCCATACATCGGGTATTTGAAGAGTGACCATCGACAAGTTGAGGACCTCGGTGAGATAGTTTGTGTTCTTGTTCGTAACAGCTCGCTGCTACCCTTATCAGCATTTCTTTTCACTTTCGAATTCTTTGAACGGTTGCAAGAGCGCTCGGTTTCAAATGAATTTGTTCGCAAATTCGAATACTCTTATCTATTTTTTGTATGTAATATGCAAATATGTATGCATAGAAGAATAGAAATATTTTGAAAAATTGTAAATAAGGAGAAAATTAAGATACTCAAATATATTTAATTTACATTTTTAATAACATATAGCGGTATTAAATGTAATAATGTACCAGTATACATAAAAGAATTTTAATAAAAATGGTAACTTTACTTTTTTATATTAACATAAAATATTAAGATGCTTTAATATTTATTTTATTTAACCGCAAAGGAGTTAGTTCGAGGAGTTATTTTATTTAAAATGAGAACTGTAATTAATTCAAGGTTGTTTTATAATAAAGACAAAAATATGGAGTAAAGAAATTGTGAATTTTTAATACTTAAAGATTGGGAAATTCCTGTTATAAATTTGACCTTGAAAATATTAGTAGCGGGTATTCAATACATTCTGGTGAATTAGGGAATTCCCGTCTTAAGTATTTCTTTAAAACTATTAAGCGGGTAGGTATTATGCATATTGTTCTACCACATTCATGCTAATTCATTGCAAGCAAAATGTGAGACCATCATCCCAACATACAAATGAAATATGCAACACGCTCAAAGTGTTGCGCAGTCGAACCGCACAAATATTTACGAAAATTTTGTTAAAAAGAATGCAGAAAAACTAGATTCAGGTTGCTGGACTCTTTTTGCTCGTGTGAATGCACAGAGCGACACCAAAGGAGAATTTGACGAAAACGAGGTCAAAAGAGTCTGTGTGTAAAAGCCGTCTAACTTTTGTTTTCTCCACGAGAGGATAATTAGAAAAGACAGCGTTGCTCCTGTTCGGGAAAAATTATCTGTATTCTTGTTCATAATAGTTCGTTGCTACGCAATACGGCATTGGATTTTATTTTAGAATTAGTTCCATGGTTGCAATTTTTTTTGGTTTCAAACGAATATTGTGGGCAACATGACAGCCAGAGCAAAATAGTATCGACGGTAAATGATTTTTTCTATAAAACCAATTTTTTAAAAGTTTAACGCAGTACATTAAAGCAAAAAAGTAAAACGATTTAGGCATGGTTTAAATTTAAATTTGGTTGGTAGTTTTGTTGTTGTTTGTTGTTTTTTTAATATTTGGTAAAAACTTCATATATTTTTCATCACTATACCTGAGAAGTCACTTTCTATCCAAAACTTCAAAACAATTTAGAAACAGAAACTTTTATTGTATTGTAACGGGTTTCGCGATAAATCGTATACCTTGTAACTCTTCCTTTAGTTCGATCACTGGATGGGTTCTTGATTAGGAATTGGGTATGCTCTGGACATTCGCTGAAATCGTCCTTGACTACCAAACACATTTGTTTCCAAGTTTCATTCTGGAAATGGTACTTTATTTTTTATATTTATCTTTGTTTTTGTTAAAATTAATTCAAGTAGATTGTTTGCACTTATATTTGTTCTTGAATACAATTGAATTGTAACTGATTTTTATATATTTATTTTCGTTTTTCGTGAAGAAGGGAATTTTCTAGTCACAAGAATTTTTTCTTGGTAATCTTACTTGCCGGTAGCAAATAAATTCTTGTTTAAGGAATTATAAACTTCAAACAAAACATCAACATTTTATTCAAGAATTTAATTTCAAAAGAAATTTATATTTGGCCCAAGTTGTGGTCTTCCAACTCAATCTCAAAAATTTTCTTTAGTCAAGAATTTTTATTTTCAGCCAAAAAATTTTTTACAACTTTATTATCATGTTATATTGATAATTTAATAGACAAATTATCGAATCAAATTTCAAAAAGTTCTTTTTTATTCGTAAAAAATATTGATTAGGTTTTTTTTTCAATATAGAATCAGTTTGATATGTGGACATTTGCAATACAAGTCATAATAAAAGATCATGGTTTTATAATGAACGTTTTAAAATAAATAAACAAATAAAATTTAGTTGTACGTTATTCAAAAGTATTTGTGTCGTTCCTTGAAATTTCTTTTCGCACTGCTTTTGTTAGCTATTTTTAGCGATTTTATTTCTGGCATCCCGCCTTTTTTTACATCAGCTGTTCGAAATTCTATGATTTTAATAATCAGGGAAAGAGAATAACAGAAAAATCAGCGAAAATGAGAGAGGGCATTTTTCTACACAATACAAAACACTGAATTAGAATATATCATAAATATCATCACTATTATTATTTATTGTACGCAAATAATTTATTTGAATTTACTTTTATCAATATAATAATACGTACCAACTTGTTCACTGAAATTCTGAATTCTGTCGGTAATTTATAGCGGAATTATTTCTGGCATCCCGCCTTTTTTGACATCAGCTGTTCGAAATTCCCTGATTTTAATAATCAGGGAAAGAGAATAACAGAAAAATCAGCGAAAATGAGAGAGTCTCGCATCATGTCATCCTTGATGCCATGACAGGGAATTTCGAACAGCTGATGTCAAAAAAGGCGGGATGCCAGAAATAAACCTGCTAAAAATAGCTAACAAAAGCAGTGCCAAACGAAATTTCAAGGAACGACACAAATACATTTGAATAACATGCAATACTTTTGAATAACGTGCAACTAAATTTTATTTGTTAATTTCATTTAAAACGTTCATTATAAAACCATGATCTTTTATTATGACTTGTATTGTTTCTTTGTTATAATTTTTTTTTATTTATATGCAATTTTTTTTATGTTATATGATCCCCGTAACGAAACAGTAAATTTAACTTGATAACAAAAGTGTATAAAAAATTCAAAATTCTTGTCTTATCATACTTATAATTATCCGTTTTGCATTTATTAGGTAAATATTCAAAGTTAGAAATCTGAACAAAGTATACTGGTAATTACGTACAGAAAACGATATTTTTAATTTACTATTTAATTGTTTCAGTTCTTGAATCAATAATTGTCGGAATGAGTGATAGGAGAAAGCGACTTAGCGGGGCCGAGTACATAAAAAGAGCAGAAATTTAAAAGAACAGAAAGAACTCTTCCGACAAACAGTAAAAAGGAAAGTAAAAGCAGTATTTTGAGTACGGAAACTTCAAACATAAGTCCTAATACAATACAATCTGAAGAAGATGAGACTGATACATACTCTGCTGTTTGTGACAGTGTAGCAGAAGCGGAATCATCTGTAAGTCCAACAATTAAAGATTCACGACTGACTTTTGGTTTTTTACGTGCCTTCTTCTGCTTATTCTTTAA